CAATCTGCCCCTGCTGCCATTCTTGAGGGCCTGTTATCTTCCAAGAGCACCATTTCGGAAGGATCAGTGGACTGCAGAGAGAGGCTGGAAGCAGGAAAGTTTTGTTCCGCTGATGGAAGTGACTCCCGTTAGTGGAAAACGTATTCTGGACCCAACTGGTTTACCTATAAAGTATCAGACTTGAAACATGGAAACAAGTCATGTAACCTCATTTTAAAAATGCAATAATACAGTGTAAACCAATAAGAACATCAAGAGCATTGAAAGCCTCTAGAGCACTGAAATTTTTAGATGAATCAGAAATAAGACCAGTGATCAGAATGAAAAGATTAATTAAGGTCCCGGTCACATGATCCACTGCCGAAGGGAGGCAAATTAGAGCTGGAGCAAAAAAACCCGCGGGAGCGCGATCTGACGTGCCCCCGCGGCTCCGTGCTCTGGCAGCCAATCACAAGTTGTGCAGCAAACCGGCAGTAGCGTGGTTGTGCACATGTGTGGGATGGGGAACGGCGCTGGCTGCGATGGGCTACCCGCGCTTCCCCAACTAGATGCCTGGAGTTGCCACGCATCATCCGGAAGGTAGTGCTCTGTTCCTAGTCCCTTTTAAATGCGTGTTTTCGGGCCGAAGGGACAGATGGGGGACGGGTGCGTGACGCTTCCCAGATGCTGCGGTGTGATCGCACCCACTTGATGCGCCTCTGATCCATCCCTCTTGTGAGACAAATCCTCCCGTATGACTGGGGCCTAAGAGATTAATGTAGGGATTAAAAAGAAAAACCAAAATTCAGAATCCACCACCAGCAAAATCACTTTTGAAAATTTTATTGGAGATTTAACTAGGGAGTCTTTCTGAGCTACCACTTGGCAGAGAGTTTATTATGCCCATTAAGGATGGAATTAATCTAGATTCCTCCCCAATACTGTCGCTCTTGGAGTAGGGTAAAGGGGCTCAAAGCAAAAGATGGGAAGTCCCACTTTGGGCACTTATTTAATGGTATTAAGTACTGCCCTGTACCAGTTTACTTTCACCTCTACACCCACCACTAATTCCAGGAACAACTACTGTATTAAAATAGGAAAGAAAATACATAAACGAAAGAAATACAGAATACACGCACTGAAATAAATGAAACACATTTTTTGAGTAAACATGATTGGGATTGACTAAAGGTAAAGGTAAAGGTTCCCTTGCTCGAAAGCCAGTCGAATCCGACTCTAGGGTTGCGGTACTCATCTCCGTTTCAAAGCCGAAGAGCCAGCGCTGTCCGAAGACATTTTCGTGGTCATGTGGCTGGCATGACTAAACACCAAGGTGCATGGAACGCTGTTACCTTCCCACCGAAGTGGTACCTATTTATCTACTTGCAATTTCTTGCTTTCGAACTGCTAGGTTGGCAGGAGCTGGAACTAGAGACGGGAGCTCACTCCGTTATGCGGCACACTCGGGTCTCGAACTGCTGAACTACTGACCTTCCACAGCCTGCAGTTCAGTGTCTTAACCACTTGAGCCACCGCAGCTCCTGGGACTGACTAGCAGGGTTTTTTTTTGGTGATGTTATTCACTGGGATTGAGGACAGGCATCACTGTGATGTTATTCACTGGTATTGAGGACAGCCTAGTGGGGACCTGCAGAGGGAAGGGGGAATTGGTAGAAATTGGCACAAACCTACAGATGAGTATTGGTACCTTTAAAAAATGAAGCTCTGGGACTGAGTTGAGAAATGGTCATCCAAATGCCTGGTCCTACATATTAAACTGGGAAGTGTGTTCTATACAAATATTCTGACAGTCCAAAGATCAGCAGAATTCCCCTTATTCTCTCCTTCCAGGTCTTCGATGTCCACCTAATTCCCATTATGAACTCTGTGGAAATGGCTGCCCGGAAACTTGCAACAGCTTTTTTAAAAAAACAACATGTGAGTCTCGTTGCACTGAAGGTTGTTTCTGTGACTCGGGATTCATCCTCAGCGGGGATCAGTGTGTCCCTCTTGCAGAGTGCGGCTGTGTGCACCGTGGCAGATACTACAAGAGAGGAGGGGACTTCTACCCGGACTCTTCCTGCCGGGAGAAGTGTCGCTGCATGGACCACGGAGCTGTCAAGTGTGAAAAGTTCTCCTGCAGATCCCATGAGGAATGCAGGGTGGAAAATGGCATCCAAGGCTGCCACCCAGTGGGATACGGAACTACTATAGCCTCTGGTGACACTCATTTCATTTCCTTTGACGGACGAAGTTTCGATTTCCACGGCTCCTGCACTTACATCTTAGCCAAAGTGTGCAGTGAGGATCCTCAGCTAGAGCGCTTCTCAGTCTTGGTGGCGAATGAAAAGTCCAAGGAGAGTCCAGCAGTTCTCACAAGGAGTGTTGTGGTTTCCATTCATGGGCACACTGTTGTCCTTCAGAGAGGAATGAAGTGGAAGGCGATGGTATGTTCCTTGCACATGATTGTCTGTTACATATCTGTGGATCATTTGTGAAAAATACCATGCACACAAACATGTCCCTGTGTGAGAGATTAGAACTAAACTCTTATTAGTATTTTTTGTTGTTGATGCAGGTGGATGGAGAGCTACACACGCTGCCGATAAATAAGGATGGTGGGAAACTCTGGATTACCCAAGAGGGGAACAATATCATTATCCAGTCCTCC